TTCGTTTCAGTCGACATTCATGCTTTCGTTATAAGTGGTGAGTAATGCCCTGATTTTGGTACCCGGTAGGCTGGGCATGCTCTCTGGTGTGTGTTATCATGCCTCTAAGTGGTGTCCCCCGGGCATCTGGGGGGTGGCCTCCCACCTGTCTCCTCCGCTCTCCTTTGGGGTGGACCAGATGGTTAACAGTTGGGTATGTATCACCTTTGCGTTTTATTTATTTATTTGTTTTCCTAGTTTGGATTTAATTATATCTTGGATTTGTTGCCAGTATTGGCTAAGTGCCGGGCAGTACCAGAATATGTGGCTCGTATTTCCCACTTGTTGGCTGCAGCGCCAGCATCTATCCTGCACCCCTGGGTATATTTGGGCCAGCCTGTGTGGTGTGTAGTACCACTGCATCCACATCTTGTAGGCTGCTTCTACATGGTCTAAGCACTTTGTCGCCCGTTTGCCCAATGTCATAGCCCCTATCCACTTCCCATGCTCGAGTTCGCAGTTCAACTCTCTTTCCCATTTGAGCATGTATGATTGTTTGGCCAGTCTGTCTATGTCTAGCAACCTATGGTAACACAGGGAGAGTGTTTTTTTTTTGGGTGTTTTAGACCTTGGCATAGCAAGTCAAAGTGGTTTTGGGGTTGTGTTGGTGTCATTTCCTTGCCGGCAGCCCCTACTATATGTTTTATGCGTAAATATGTGAATATTTCGCTGTTTGGTAGATGGTATTGGCTCTGGAGGTCCGGGAACGCTAGCAGCCCGTTTGCTCCATAGAGGTGTGTTATCTGCGTTAACCCTCTGTCCACCCACTCGCCCAGGGCTAGGTCATGTGTGTGGTGCTGGAGACTTGTCAGTGGGGCAAAGGTCTCTACCTTTGCACTGAGTATTTTTGGGGCCCATCTCAACCATAGCTGCAGGGACAGCTTGGTTGTCGTGAGAGGGTTTGTGAGTCGAGGTTGGGCCTTGGCTGGGATCCAAACCAGGTCCCTGAGGGAGTAGGGCGCACAGACCACACTTTCCAGTCGATGCCACAATGGGCAGTTCGAGGAGGAGAGGAGGCGCGCCGTCTGAGATATGTTTGTTGCTAGATAGTATTTGGTTATGTGTGGCACACCCACCCCGCCTCCCCCCATGGCTGTGCTAATGTTCGCTAGTGAGATTCTGGGTGTTTTTTTCCTCCATATGTGTGCGTTGAGAAGTCGTTGAAATGCTTGGAGGGTGTAGTTTGGTAAACTGATGGGAAGGGCCCTGAATAGAAATAATACTTGCGCTAGTATGATCATTTTTATGGCGTTGATGTGCCCCAACCAGGATGTGTGTTTGTTTTTGTTTCCCCAGCCTTCCAGCACCTGCTCTATTTTTGCTGTGAGACGCCCGTGGTTATGTTTTATGAGGAGCTGTTTGGAGGGTGCTAGTTGTGTGCCTAGATAGGAAATGGTATCCTTCCTCCATTCAAAGGGATATAACGTTCGTAGGGTCGTGAGTTGGGATCGGGGTATGTTCAGTGGGAGTACCTGTGTTTTTGCTACATTGTTTTTGTAGTAAGAGACCTGGCCATATTCCCGTAGTAGGTCCAGGAGGGCCGGTAGGGAGTCCGAAGGGTTTGTTAGGAAGAGAAGGAATATCGTCAGCAAACACTGCCATTTTTTGTGGGCCTATCGCGGAGGGGGCGCCTATAATGCTGGGGTTAATCCTGATTTTATGAAGCAGGGGCTCCAGTGCCAGGATAAAAATGAGGGGGGATAGGGGGTATCCCTGACTTGTGCCGTTCGTTAGGGCGAATCTTCTGGAGATGAAACTGGAGTTCGTGACTGTGGCTTGGGGGGACGAGTAAAGGGATAAGAGCCCGGTCAGGAATTTAGTTGGGAAGTTGAACCTACGAAGGACCTCTGTCATATAACCCCAGTGGAGTCTGTCAAAGGCCTTCTCTGCGTCTAAGGCCATTATTAAGCCCTGTGACCGATCTCTAGTCATAAGTTCCATTACGTCAAGGGCTCGTCTGGTGTTATCTTCCACTTGTCGCCCCGGGACAAACCCTGATTGTTCTGGGGATACTAATTGAGCTAGTATAGGGCGTATTCTGTTTGCAAGGGTCTTGGCAAACAACTTTGTGTCAGCGTTGAGGAGCGAGATTGGGCGGTAGTTTGCGCATATATCAGTAGTTTTGCCTGGTTTAGGGAGCGTAATAATGGTGGCTTCCAACATTTCTGGGGTTATCTCACCTGACTCTAGGATATGGTTCAATAAGGCCGTGAGGTGGGGAAGTAGCTGGTCCTCAAAAACCCTGTAGTAGTGGGTTGAGAAGCTGTCTGGGCCTGGGGCTTTGTGTCTGGGTGTGTCGTGTAGAGCCTTTGATTCCTCAGATGCTACAATTGGGTTGGTCAGTGCAGCGGCCTGTTCATTGGAGAGCCGAGGGAGAGTCACCCCTTCTAGGAAGGTAGTAATATCTTGGGGACTGGGTTGGTGTTGGGTGGTGTCCCCAGATAGGTTATATAGCCCTGCGTAAAATTGGGCAAATTTGTCTACTATTGCTTTGGGGTTTCTAATCTTGGTGCCCGTGTCGTCCTTGATATATGTGATCTTTACCTGTGAGTTGCGTTCCTTGAGTTGGGAGGCTAATATTTTGCCCGCTCTATTTCCCTGTCTATAGTAGTTGGTTTTCATTTTACGAATTGCCCGTTCTACTTGCTGCATCTGTAGTGCTTCTATGGTGGCCCTTATCTTCTGTACCTCCTGCCTGTTGGAGTGTGTGGGGGAGGTCTTGTGTCGTGTTTCTGCCTGTTGTAAGTCGGTCAGCAAGGTCCTGTTCTTTTCTGTCAGTTGGCGCTTCAGTTTTGCCCCTTGTCGTATTAGCAGACCGCGCGTGACCGCCTTATGGGCAAGCCATGTCATAGCGACATTCGTGTCGGTGTAGTGGTTATCTACAAAATAGTGCGCCAAGGCGCTCCTTATCTCGGCCGCCCTGTCCACATTGTCTATCAGTGATTCGTTTAGTCTCCACTGACCCTGACCCCGGACCGGGTGGAGCGTGGTAAAGACTGATGTGAGGGGGGCATGGTCTGACCAAGTTAATGGGGCAATGGAGACCTCCTCTAGGGTATCTAGCGTTTTTCCATCCACTAAGCACATGTCTATCTGGGAGTATCGATCATGTACCTTGGAATAGAACGTGTAGTCTTTAGATGCTGGGTATAGTGAACGCCATGTATCGTGTAGGCCGTGTGAGTTGAGGAGCTCTGTTATTTTTGTCCCTAGTTGTGTGGATCGCAAGTGGGAGCAGGGTTTGCCGGTCCTATCTAGAGCAGGGTCCAGTACGCAGTTAAAGTCCCCACATATAAGTGTCTGCCCTCTCTTCTTCTTATCTACTTGTTGTAAAGCTTTCCTAATGCAGTCAGACTGGTTGGTGTTGGGGGCATACAGGTTGACTACTGTCACCTGGACGTCATTTAGTAATCCTACTAGTATTAAAAGCCGGCCATCGGGGCTTTTGTGTTCTACTTCACATTTAAATTGCCAATCAGAGTGGAAGAGAATGCTGACACCCCGTGTCTTATTCGGTGCCGTGGCATGGTAGGCTTGTGGATAAGATGTGGACGAGAATTTTGGTGGATTTTTAGATTGAGAAGTGGGTTTCCTGTATGCATGCTACAGAAGCGTGTAGGGTGCGTAATTGGGAGAACGCCAGCCTGCGTTTTTGTGGGGAGTTCAGCCCATGGGCATTCAGAGACACCAGGCGGAATTTATTGGCGGAGGTCATTTTAACTAGTTGGGGTGGCCCTAGGGCGTAGTATTACCTATTGCCACTACATGACAGAGTTGGTAGGGTGAGGCTATTTTTTCCCCTCGTCTTACCCAGTAGTGAAAAGGGAGCATCTCGGGTAGGGGGTTAGGACAGGGGGAACAACCTGAAACATAACCTAGGCAACGTATATACATTTCAAACAGCATTAAGCATTATGTGGGGGACCCCGCTGCCGAGCTCGCACCCTCTACTGCACTGAGAGGGGGTCACAGCGGCGGGTGGTGTCCCGTAAGTGTATCGGGGGGGCGTCTGATATTTGGTGAGGCCTGTACCTCTTTTAGAGCCCGGCTCCCTCTAAGAGGTAGGCGGCAGGGGGGGAAATATGGGGGCTTGATTGAGCCGTTGGCTGTTTTTGCATAAGTCCATGAGTGGGAGGGGAGGGGTGAGTACATCCTCTGCGCCCTGCAGTTTTTCGGCCTTTTGCTCAGCCTTGCTGGGTTCAGATTTTAGTGAACAGTCTCTGCAAGGTTTCTGAGCAGCGAGTCTGTCTGCTTTGGGGTAGGTCTCGCAGTGACAGGGTGGGCCAAGCTGAGCTGTGATGTGGCAGAGTCATTTTTTCTCTTGTGCTGGGTTTGGGGGGTGAGGGTGAGTAAGAGTACTCACGTGGGTGCTGAATGTCCTTCATGCTATGCCATTCCCAGATTGGGGCGGTCACCATGGGGGGTCTCATGGATCTTTAACACAGTGCTGAGTCGTGCTGTAGCCGGCACCCCCTTCTGGGTGACGGTAGTACCCTTTAGGCCTTGGACCAATCCGCGGTCACCTTCTTTAGGGGGGCTTGGGTGTTTGATGCTTTGCCGTCTGGGAACAAGCCTCAGGTATTGAGCTTGTCCATTCCCAGCGCCGGATCTTCAATCTTTATTAGGGAGCCATTCCGCCAGATAAGGAGTTTTGTAGGAAATCCCCACCTGTACGGTATTTTGTTGTTTCTGAGGCATTTCGTAATGTTAATGAATTCCATTCTTCTGGCCATTGTCGTCGGTGAGAGGTCGGCGAAGAGGGAGATACTTTCATAGGTTCGCGGCATCGCTGAGGCCTTCCTTTGCGACATGAGTATGGCTTCCTTAGCATTGTAGTAGTGCAATCTGGTCACAATGTCTCTTGGCACTTCCTGTGCAAGGTTTTGAGGTTTTGGCACTTGGTGTGCCCGATCCAGATGGAGATCTGCCAGCTCTAGACTTGGTTGGATCGCTTGGAAGAGTCACAGTAGGTAGGCCGGCAACTCTTCTTGTGTCACTGTTTCTGGTACCCCGCGCACGCGGATATTATTGCGGCGGGAGTGGTCTTCCAGATCTGCCAGTTTTTCCATAAGGTGTTTGTTATCAGCTTCCACCCTTTGTATTTTCTCCACTATGGTGTCATTCATGTGGCAAAGCTCATCAGTTTTTTCTTCTAGCGCATTCACCCGTGTCCCCACTGCGTGGATGTCTTTGCGCATGTCAGAGACCGCAGCTTGGAAGTCAGTCTTCATAGAGGTGCGTAGGTCCTGCAGCATTGCCGCCAGGCCTTTTTCCAACACAGAGAGATCATCAGCGGTTACTTGCCTCGAATCTGTGTCTGTGAGTGCGTGAGCGGGAGCCGCCGCCATCTCGTTCCATCTTGTTCCAATGGGGTCTAGCTCCGCCACATACATAACAGTTAGTCTTATTATGTGAATTAGCATTATATCTCATCCATTCCAGCCACAGGTTAGTGTCTGAAAACCCGGTTTCCATTGTCATGGTGTCCTCAAAAGTAGGGTTAGCAATAGCAACCATATCATTTAGAGTCTTAATGTGAGGCTTCAGTGGGTTGATAGACATGTGAGTAGTACCTACCCAGTCAGGTGAGATGAGCATGTCTTGTAAATAGAAGGTTCCCAATTTATTATGTGACCCACCTCCCTTCCAATACATACCCATTACATATTCTCCAGCATCTCCTGGGCTGGGATGTTCTATATTTAAAGTGAGCTTCATCGGGGTTGACCCTGCAGGTTTACTCAGGGTCATTCTATATAACAAGGATTTCCCATTTCCGTCTTGATGGGAAGCAGCATCAAGGGAGGCGGGGGCTGGAGCGGCCTGAGTGACAGGGGTTGGGAGTCCCGTGATAGGTGACGTGGTGGGATGGAAGCCTGAAGCTGGCGGAGAGACACCCATCACATAAGGTTGGCCCGAAGTT